TTTTTTTTTTATCTTATGATCTGTCTTGATCCTGCTAAATGACTTTTCTTAATTACACAGATTTGTCTAGCATTAATTTGGTAAGGAGAGTGGGCTTTCCAATTAGCCCCCACACCTCCTAATTCTTTTCAGTATAAGGTTTGTATAACGTCCAGGCTGCAGCAGTTGATCTATGCTGCTGACTCTGGGGTGGATCACTTGCTCATGCTCTGTAAGGAGATTTATGTTGCAGAATGTGTCTCCTTGTTAGGGCAGATTTAGTTTTTAGTGATTACATCTTCACATTCAATTTCTACTGGTTGACATTTGGGTGGCTTTTAAGTTACCTTCCCCCACGCCCTCGAACTAATTATAACGGCGTGTGAGGGAAAGGTTTTAACTTTTTTTTTTTTTTTTCTGGACGGCCCCTACTCATGTGTTGTGAAACATCCTTGGGTTGCCTGCGATTCCAGCCAGAGAGGCTGTCGTTATCTATTTGCTAAGAAGGGCTTGAGAATTTCCTGAAGTTGCTTGGATTCGATCCTTGCTCAAAGCTTGCACTCTCTTTTTAATCTCATAGCCTAAGAAGGTGACCTTTGGCTGGGGCTTTTTCTTGTGAGACTTTATATCTCCTTTTTTCCTAGGGCATCCAACAGGGACTCCATTGCCCTTTTCTAGTTTTCTAAGTCTTTCTGCAATGTGATCACAAAGACATGGGGGAGCTGATACAAAACCCTGGGGCAACACAGTCCACAACAACTGAGTTTTGTCATGGGTATGTGGGTCCTCCCACTCAAAGGCAAATAGTTTCTAACTGTCTTTATGCAAAAGGATAGAGAAGAAAGCATCTTTTAAATCTAACACTGAGAACACCTTTGCATCTGCCAGAACTTGTGTTACAATGGTGTGTGGATTTGGGACCATAGGGTGATCCACAAGAACCTTCTTATTTACAGCCTTCAGGTCCTGCACTAATCTATACGAGGTGCCATCTGCTTTGCGTACTCCTAAAACCGGGGTGTTAAAGGGGGAAGAGCCCCGTTTCACTGGCAGCTGCACTACAATCCGATCACCACGGAAGAAAATTTCAGCCTGCAGCTTAGTTAGCATATCTCGCCCTAGTTAGGCAACTGGGCATGCAGATGAAACAACAAAGGCATGCTCCAGCATATTATCTCTAATCTTCGTGAGGAGGGGTTTACATACAGGTAGCTTGCTTCGCCTTCTTCCTTCCCCTCCTCATGTTGCTCCACCATGGGAGTTTTTCTACGCCTGCCTTGAGTCAGATCAACTTCACTACTAGAATCATTTAAAACCTTGGGGCACGCTCTCTTGCCTCCCGTGGCCTTAGTTTTTGCTATCATAACTCTACAAGCTCCTATACTACACTTCAGCAGCCACGCAGGTCGCCTCTGCATGTGATTCAACCAACAATTAATATATGGGAACTAATCTCAGTGCCTACCTCGAGTAACAATACTATGCACAGAGGCAACTAGATTTACATTAAAAGACTCTGTATCTAGCCAGCCTATCCCAAAGGTTGGCCACTCTAGCTGACAGAACTTGATTAAATAATCCTTTGTCATTTTAATCCCAAAATCACCCTTAAATTTACTGAAATTGCGCAACATGCATCCCAATGGGGTTACGGAGTTTTCTACCCGGGAGCGACCTGGACTCATGCCTATATATTTATTACACACACAGTCAACACGCTTTTTCCACGGCTCCGTATGTCAATAGAATGACACCACACCAGCTTTTAGCGTCCGAACTCAGAGAGGGTCCAGCGCTTGGCTGCCTCACTAGAGACACCGGTGTGCCCTTGTGGAACCGTGACACTTAAGACAGGTCTATTAAACAGCAACGAATATAGACAAACAGGGGGCTTGGAGACTCGCTGGGTCACGAGGTTCGGCTGACCCCCCTTGCAATCAAGAAATCCTGGTCCTCGGGTTTCCCCTTGCAGGATTCTTGGGGCGGCTGGAGTCAGCTTAAGTCTCAGACCTGGTCAGCGACAGTCATTCTTACACACAAACTTTTAGTTTCACAATTTAGGTTTCTAACAAATCATTAATATCAAGAACAGAAGTACTCCTACTAAAAACAAAAGCAATCCCCTGGGGTTTTTCTAACTCCTCATAATTGGCTAACACAGACCACGAATTTGTGGTATTTCCAAAGGGGCTTACAGAGGTTTTTACCATTTGGGTGCGACCCAATTCCACGATATTGTGTTCTTTCCTACGGCCCAGCCCTATATGCTGGCCACAACGTCTTCAAAAGACAAACCCCAAAACCCAGACCTCTATGCTGAGTACAAACAAACCTACAGGTCGACCTCTACAAGAACACAGGGATAGGTATACTCACTCCGTTATGCCCCGGCGCCTTCCTCTTTTCTTCGGACCCTACAGCCTCGTGTGACTCATTCAATAGAGACTCCTTTAACTTTCCGGATGTCCCGACTCTCGCTTTCGGTGCCATGACGGACTCAAACAGTCCGGTGCGCACTTCACGGTCACCTACGGCGAATCTTGTCGTCCGACTCCGGAGTAGTCCAAGGGGTGTCCCTTCGTGGTCGCCAATTTGTTGCATAAATTGCTGGTTTCGTCCCCTTGGAGGCTAGTCTGATTTACCCCAAGAAGAGAGTCACACTTTCAGGCTGGGTCCAACTCAAGTTTATTGGTTGCAACCAAGGTACGGCTAAGGAACTCAATGTTCAAAGCAGAGCCGAACCTGAGCGTTGGCTAAGCATCCTTTTTTATACTTTCTTTAACTTTCTTATCTAACTTGGCACGTCTTGATTTGTTACCTTAGCTTCGTGTTGCCGCGTTATTGGTTAGCATATTTCAACTCTATTCCATTCAGTAACAACCACCAGTATAGCTTACTTAAGCAATAGCAATTAGCAAATTTCCCTAACTCAAGTAATACGTGTACTCCAGTCCTTGAGAAATGGGTCTAAACAGCTAGTTCCCCTTTTTACTACAGCTTCTAAAACATGCGCAATTAGCTAAATGATATGTGCTGTTTCAAGCTTAAGTAATGGAAGGGGGAAGAAGCACACATAGTCTTTACTATATTTTACTACAAGGGCATGGGGTGGCAAACATGGGGAGGGGTGGGGGAGGAAGCAGTGGGGCATTGGAGGGACTGGCAAGGGGCAGAGGGCCCTCCCCATGCCCAACCCCTGCAGTGCCCCCTTGCCTGCTGTGCCCCAGCAACCGCTGTTTCAAGCTTAAGTAATGGAAGGGGGAAGAAGCACACATAGTCTTTACTATATTTTACTACAAGGGCATGGGGTGGCAAACATGGGGAGGGGTGGGGGAGGAAGCAGTGGGGCATTGGAGGGACTGGCAAGGGGCAGAGGGCCCTCCCCATGCCCAACCCCTGCAGTGCCCCCTTGCCTGCTGTGCCCCAGCAACCTCTCCTCATGCCTGGTCCCTGCAGCACTCCACCAGCCCGTGCTTGCCCTAGCTCATGCAGTGCCTCCCGCCAGCTGTGCCGGCTTTCCCTCCCTGTACCCACTCAGCCTGCTGCACCCTGACAACCTCTTCCCATGCCCAGCCCCTGCAACACCCCCTGACTGCTCTGTCTCCTGCCCTTCCCCGTGCCTGTACCCTGCAGTGCCTGCCACTTGCTGCACTGCCAGCCCCACCTTGTGGCTGGCCGC